ATGTCATGCCCAATTCAAAATGAGGATTCTTCATGTCTTTTTGATGATCAAAAGTTGGATGACCCTGTTTACTTGTCTGCTTACCCTGGCTACCTACATATTCAGGGCCAATAGTATCATCTCTATTTAGCCCTCCCCATTCAATATCAGCATCTACATTACACTCAAACATCCTATCATCTTCATCATATAGATCACAATCACTCTCAACAAGCTCATCAGAAAACTCTGAGTCAGAACCAAAAGATTGGACTTCAAAATCACTATCAGAGTCACTATCATATTGGACTTCCGAATCATCACCCATATCATCAACACTCTTTTTCCCCCAGTTGTCAATTATATCATCTAACTCATCCACAACATCCCCCACAAAAGGCAAGTGTTCATCAACAAAAGGCAAACAATCAGAAGCTTGAGTAGTTATCCCTGTGCCCATGTTTTCTATATGTTCAATATATAAACCGACCATTATGTTACTATCAACCCAGTTAACAAGATTTACAGCATCCATGTCATTTTGCAACACAAACACGGACCGACAATCATTTACACCATTTTTACTACAATGCACACACTTAACATCTTTTATCCCAATTTCAGAAGCCATACAGAATATTTCAATCAACGAGAGTTCATCAGGGTCACAATAGTCAATGTGACTTACCCCCAACATTTCACCAGTGTAACAAGTGTCACCAAGTTCCAGAAATTGCCCACCATAATGAAATGAAATGGTAAACAATTGTGAACTGGGACCTGAAGGGACAAGAATATTGCACAAATCAATATCAAATTAAAAAAAAAAAATACTAGACTAATATATCTTGAACCACATTTCCGACAACAAATCACATTTCCATATTTTAATCCATTCACTGTCAGCAAGTTCAAAAAGTTTGTCTCCACATGAGAAATGAGAAGGCATAATCACAAAAACATAATCAAATTCGACAAGAAAAAAACATTTCAGAAAAAAAAAAATAGGGTTTGAAAACAAACCGTAATCGGGGCGCAGTCTTCCAGGTGGAAGATTCTCATTATCGTCGCGTACCTTCCGCCCATCAAGATCGCGATCAAGTTTTATACACAATTTCTATGTTTAATTCGAAGGAAATTTTAAGATTGGATGTCGAGATTCGAAATCGCAGTTGCAAGAATCCTAGTTTTTTGTTTTTTATTTCAATTGGGGATTTGTGTAAACTCTGGAAATTAATTTGGATATATTTACTCTGTGGGATCCGAACAGTCACGTACTTGAAAAGTCGATTTTACCCTCAATTTGGTAGCGTGCGAGTCGCACGCTCGCTTTTCCGGTTGAAATATGGAGTCCGATGACAGTTAGGTTGCGATACAGACGATACGTGTATTACAGGTTGCAATTTAAAAAAAAAAAAATTTAGGTTGCAATCGCCAAAAATGCGATTAGTACAGGTTGCAAATAATTATTTACCCATATATATATATCATAATTCAAAACTAAACATATAACTTCTCTAAATTAGCATATATACTATTTTAAAGGTATGGTCGTATAAGTTTAGTTCTCAAAATTAAAATGTAAACAATAATTTTAAAATTAAATATATAACTACCCTAACTTAGTAGGGCAATTCTACTACCAGGTAGGTTCTTTTTTATTTGTACATGCCTAACATCAGGTATGTCTTAAATAAATGACAAGTGTCTTAGGGATTTGTGTAAATACTGAAATGCCCCTTAATGTAAATAAATGACAAGTGTCTTAGGGATTTGTGTAAATACTGAAATGCCCCCTTAATGAATAAAAACTGAATTTACCTCAAAGGTCTTCAAATATTGATTTCTTAACATTCACCCAAAACATATTTCATATTTCAATTAAAACACCAATTATTCATAAATTGCATATGAATTTATCTCACACATTTAAACCCAAAATAACGAAGAACCTGCATAGACACACACACACACAATCAATTGTTCGCACCTCGAGCTGAAATAATGAATCCATATGAATTTTCGTGTTCTTCATTTTGTTGTCCATCCGTCATTTATAATCGATGGTTAAGGATGATGTTTGGATGTGTGTGTGTGTGTGTTTGGTGAAGAATAATCGATGGTTACGAATAATGCGTGTGTTTGATTCATTAGTATGGGTGTAAATTTTATGTTGTGCATGTGATTTGTAGCTTTTATGCAAACAAATTGAGCATCTAATCACCGTGGACTAATCTCATGTCAAATTATTAGATGGATACATAGAGGATAATGTATTCAATTGGAAATTTAAGTGATATTTTAAAAATTTTAGTATTTGAGACTTTTTAGGATTTTTAGATTTGGGAAGAAGTGTATGAAATTTTAAGGGGGTGTATTCAATTGTGAATTTAAATAACATTTCAAGATTTTTAAAATTTGAGACTTTTTAGGATTTTCATATTTGGAAAGAATTCTATGAAATCTTAAGTTTGGAGGTAGGATTTGAAGTGAAATTTCATATAAGTTTTTTGTCTAGAAATCTCACAAAATCTTTAAAAGTCTTAATAAATCATAGTGTCAAATAAATTAAATACATCATGATTTTGTAAGACTTTTGAAAGTCTCAATTGAATACCTCAGAATTTTTAAAAGTCTTAACAATTCTAAATTAAATACACCAATATTTCTAAAGTTTTTAAAAAATCCTTAAAAATCCTAATTGAATACATCCCGAAAATATTTTTAGCTTATATACATATTCGCTCTTTTTAAATAATTGCACATTACATATTTGAATATATATATATATATATATATATATATATATATATA